GCAGGAGGGGAAGACCCTCTATGAGGTGGACTGATGCAGTGACTGGGGTACTTGGGATGGGTGTGTCAGAGGCAATGAGATTGGCACAGGATAGAGCACAGTTTAGGGCTGTTGTACATAGGGTCGCTATGAGTCACAAGCGACTCGATGGCACATAACAACAACAACAACAAACATGCAAATAGGGGTAATATGCAATTAGGGCATGTTAGACCATCCATAAGGGGATTGGCCAAGTCTCACCAACCTACAGAAGAATTGACTAGACCTTCCAATAGATCTGAGCAATTCCAGCAGCAGTCTCTCACCACCAGCAAAGGAGAAATAGTCATGCAGTAGATGGCCTTCAGGACCATATATTCTTGCACCAACTAGACTTACTGTAGCAGTACCATGACCAATGCAGAGATCTAGAGAATCAACATGAGATGGGACTAAAACCTGCTTCCTCATGGACAGAACCAGAGCTGAGCAAGAGCCTTTGCATAAGGTTTCTGGACAACTTAGGAGTCGGGGGCAAGCCAATAAAGGCAAGACTGAGAACTTTATAACACTGGTCTAAAGCCACGAGGCTCAAGACTCAGGTGCACATTTGGAAGCTGTCCTGACTTACATTTTTTTTGGAAGCAGGCGTGGCATCCACTTCCTAAAAACATGCCTCCAGAAACCCTATGAACTTTGATAAATGTCAATAGTTGTAGAGGAGATTTAAGCCTTTTGTTCATAGGGTGGCTATGAGTCACGCTCAACTTAAAGGCAATCAACAACAACAACAACCTGGATTATAACCCTTCAATTTCCCCAGCATGATTCTGTATGGTCTGTGAGCTATTGCATCATATTTTGGACCCAGAAAAGCAGTAAGATTGATATTGAGAAGAGTAAAAAGAGGTATGGAAGCGTGGGGGACATGTCTGACCTGAAGGGAATTGGTTTTGTGTTGTTGATGCTGTTGACAGAAACAGTTCCCCATTGTGAAGTCAGTAAAGGTAAGACATATCCATCCTCAGTGGCCCTTGCTCTTTTTATTGTGTACCAGACCAGGGTTCTGGGTTCAACAATCAGCTGGTGGCTTTACTATTGCTTCATCAGTTATCACTACCAGAGAACTTGAAGGAGGTAGCACCGTTCTCCCCTCTCCTCCACACTCCTACCTCATAAGAAAGTCCTTCCCATCCTTCTGTCTTGTAGCCATGTTTGCAGAACTATTGTGACTGGACAACCATTACTACACTATCAAGATTTAAAAGACAGTCAACACACTATATTCAACTGAGGAGTGTCACAGCTGTAACTATTCCTTATCCCATCAGCTTAGCTCGTGATGACAAATACCTATTTTTAGTGGGGAAAAAACCAAAGGAATTTTTCTGAATGGCAAGTTTGTTTCTTCTATTATTTATTAACCTTAAGGCCTAGAAAGGGACATCTTCAGGCAACCTCAGACAGCTGGAGAAAGCTTATTTCCAACTGGATCCCTTGACATGAAATTGAAGCTATATTGCCCACTGGTCCTCTACTTCCCCAAGGAGATATTCTACAGGCTCTGTCTCAGAATGACCAATCCTAATTCTGCCCCCTTCTCCTTTCTTTCTGAACTTTTTTCTTTTTCTCCTTATGCCTTCCTCTGGCTCCAGGTGCTTCTCATTTTGCCAGGAGTACTTCTAGTGGTATTAGAGTATTTGGGATCCCTAACTTTTCTTCTTTCTTATTTCCTTGGATAGATTTTTTAAAAAAATTTAAACCCTATATCTTTTCCTTCTCATTGACCCTTTATCTGGAGCATCACTTTCCAATACCCAAGCCTTCCAGTACTAGTGACTCTCTATTTCTTTAAGATGACCCAGTAAACACCACCATGGCAATACTGCTGCCTCAAATTACATGTAAAAGAACATGGTTCCTATTCTCATGGAGCTTATGTTCTAACGTTGTTGTTGTTGTTGTTGCTGTTGTTGTTGATTGCCATTGAGTCGAGCATAACTCATAGTCACCCTATGAACAAAAGGCCTGAAGCCTTTCTATAACTATCATCATTTATCAAAGTTCATAGAGTTTCCAGAGTCCTGTTGTTTAGGAAGTGGATGCCAGTCCTGCTTACAAAGAGTAAGCAGAAGAAAAACTCCCTCATTGGTACACAA